AGCATTCACTTTGTCTTAAACATCATCATAGAAAAGATCTGAATTTTCCAAGTTATTATGTGTATCCGAAACTTTATTCTGATATCTTGATCTTGTACCGCGGACTCGTTCTCTAGGTTGATTTTAGCAATCAAGCGACGTCGATGAGGAGCAGAATGTCCGAGATATTGAAGCAAAGTTCCTGGAATTAACGAAACCGTAAGCCGATGGAGCGAAGCCAAACTGAAGAAGTTATGCTGTGGGAGAATCACTAAGCAACGCGTAATAGGGATTCGAATCCAGTTCAAACTGCCGCATTCAGCAAACTCTCAAAAGCCGAGACTATATAGCATTAGTTAGTTGAATACTTTTGTATCCCAAAACTAATTTAAAACCATCGACGAATGTGAAAAATGCAGGACTTAGCGTGTACATAAATTTCGTTAGTGCTCGTAAGCTGAGCACTCAACATCCCTGGTCATGTATTTCACTGAGCAATGCAAAAGAACATACATATATACGAGGCACGTACGTGCGTGCACGCATACATACATAAACAGCGTAGAATGGGACAGAGATCTAGGTGTAACGACATAGAAATGAACAGTCCTTAGAGATAAAATGGTAACGCACAGGGCAGAAACTCATGTTCAAAACTGAATGGGCTGAGGATAGGTTGTATGCTCATCTATGCGTGTGGATAATGGCTCACTGCAAGGGCCACGGGGATCTCTGGTGGGAAAATAATGACGGTGATGATAATAATGTTAACATGGAGGTAAGGAGTGAGTCGATTCAGCGCAGATCATGTCATTCAAAACAAGATGCTTAGTGTTGCTTATTCAGCCAGTGAGAAAGCTAGGCGTGTTTTAGGATGATTAATGATGATGACAGTGATGATAGGAATAGGGTTAATTAGGCAAGATAAATCAGGGGAGGAGATCAACGTATCAGATAGGTGATAATAAGGAGAGATCAAGTAAGAAAGGTTGAATTTGATCGAAGGACGCCGCAACTCCTATAACAGCAAATCCAGGCTGACCACCATTTCTTTCCCAGTGAAGAGGTTTGGTTTGACGACTTGAATCGCTCAGGCTTCTACAATCTCAGGAAGCTGCTTATTTTGCTGCTTACTGGTAACTTTAAAGAACTTGCAGGTATCAATATCAAGCCTACAATCCACTACGTGCTTCGCCATGGAGCTCCTCAGAGTCTTTCCATCCGCATGCTTCAGACATTTGCGTGGGTGCTCACACATTTGGGTAGGCCGGCACCCCCATTGTATTCGCTTCCGCAGGTACACTCAAATTGGTATAGGCATTTAGATGTGTCGAGGATTAGAGCTCTGTCTTTTCCTGGCTGTTGCAGCACCCTATTGTTGGTGCTGAGAAGAACGAGTTTAGCAGTGTGATAAGTCCCTCTGATGAAATTCTGTCATCTTCATGTAACTACTTCTAGCACGTTGTCATCTTTTAAAGGTTGGGTGATATAGACCGGCTTTTTCTGTATTGTCGGGGATGCTATTCTGCTTACGACCCATTTTCTGTGCTTATTGATAAGGGTTTCTGGGCACCCATTCTTCACTGGCACGTTTTTCAGAGCCGTCACTTCGTAGTCTAGTATACCGTCTGAGCAAACTTTTCTGACTCTGTTGAACAGCATTCTGACCGTATTTTTTGTATTAAGTTGGGACAAAGCTCCTAAAACGAAGGCACTGTCCTGTCATTGAAGGTTTTCTAAACATAGACCTTTCGATAGGTTCGCCGGTTCTTCCCACTAATGAGATATCCAGGAAACTAGTCATACGATTTTCCCCATGCTAAGTCGTGAAGGTTACGCTTGGATAACAAAAGCTGGGGCTCTTTAATAGCGCTTCTACCCCCATTTCGCTATTACATGTTCTGAACATGTCATGCGTGTGTCGCTGTTACAATTCCGTCTGATAAATGAAGCTCCGCAAGCCACTATTTTTCAGGCATGACCGCCACACTACACAATTATATATGCTGATAGATAATCATGTAACTTATCCCCGACCCACTCAACTTTGAACATACATCTCCACCCTGTGCGTTACCACTTGACCTGTAAAAACTGTTCATTTCTACGTCATTACACCTGAGTCTCTGATCCATACAACTCTATGTATGTGTGTACTTATGTATATACACATTTATGTTCTTCAGTACTGCTTAATGGAATATATAATCAAGTATGGTGGGTATCCAGCCGACAAATACTACTGAAATGTATGTGCTCGCTAATTCCTGCTGTTTTCACACTAGTTACTCATTAATTTCACTTGTAGGCTAAAATTGCAAGCCTGTATTTCCACTCTGCTTACCAATGAATAGTGCGTTTTCTTACTTAACCGAATATGATGATACTTGTGATCTCTGTTATCGTGTTAAAGCTCATCCATGAAATGCATCACATATGAAAGCCTGTATTGATATACCGTATATGCTGACTGAAGATGAATCGCTAATAATTGTTCTGAAAATTAGTCAAGTCGAAACAAGGTAGGAAGGTCACTTGAACTAGGCGTCTTTTGACCCTAATTATCGATTTCTTTCACATAATGGAATTTCTGGCTGGTTCCCAGACGAATCTCGAACCGGGCATCTGTGCGAAGGTTTGATTAATTTTTCCAGCGATGCTCATATTTTGAGAAATATAACTGATACTTGATATCAACATTTCACTTGGTGCTGGGTATTCGTCAGTATTTCCGGTCGGATTTCTAATGGAATTCTCGGGACGAAGAGCTCCGAAACTTGTCGCAGGCAATGTGCTCACAGACTGAACAAGTAACAACTGGATGTACTTGGTGAATTCCAGTGAGCGTATGACTGTGAAGGACCATAACTTGGCGGCCGGAAAGGTATCAAATATATCTTTTATCGCGCCAATATCGTAACGCCGTAAAGTTCAGAAACTGGAGGATCCTAAATGGCACGTACAGCTGCTGAATGAAGCATATCCGTGACCAAGTACTCTCAGCAAGCCAAAAGGATTAGTACTGTTAAGGTGGGCAACAGCTCCGAATATTACCAATTTGAGAGCGATTGATGTTGACAGTGATATACATTTCACATAACTCACCGTGCATGAGATCATGGCAGTTTTATGGACATAGTTCTCTCCGTGACCGACAGCGACGAACGCTAAAATGCGATTTGTTTTAGTCCAAACTCAACTCTGAAAACTGCGAATTTCCTAATGATTAGAAAGAATATATTCATTCACTTAATCTCATGTAGTGCATTTTGAGGTTAGTCTGTCTCTTCTGCTCCTAATACTGAATAATTCTGGAGGTTGGGACGAGGCTAAAGATTATCCTCAAGTGTAGTCATGCCGCTTATGGGCTTTCGTGTTCTATGTGAAAATGAGTATTTTATATGATTTGAAGGCAAATGTTGAACCAAGTAACAACTGGATGTACTTGGTGAATTCCAGTGAGCGTATGACTGTGAAGGACCATAACTTGGCGGCCGGAAAGGTATCAAATATATCTTTTATCGCGCCAATATCGTAACGCCGTAAAGTTCAGAACTGGAGGATCCTAAATGGCACGTACAGCTGCTGAATGAAGCATATCCGTGACCAAGTACTCTCAGCAAGCCAAAAGGATTAGTACTGTTAAGGTGGGCAACAGCTCCGAATATTACCAATTTGAGAGCGATTGATGTTGACAGTGATATACATTTCACATAACTCACCGTGCATGAGATCATGGCAGTTTTATGGACATAGTTCTCTCCGTGACCGACAGCGACGAACGCTAAAATGCGATTTGTTTTAGTCCAAACTCAACTCTGAAAACTGCGAATTTCCTAATGATTAGAAAGAATATATTCATTCACTTAATCTCATGTAGTGCATTTTGAGGTTAGTCTGTCTCTTCTGCTCCTAATACTGAATAATTCTGGAGGTTGGGACGAGGCTAAAGATTATCCTCAAGTGTAGTCATGCCGCTTATGGGCTTTCGTGTTCTATGTGAAAATGAGTATTTTATATGATTTGAAGGCAAATGTTGTTTATTTCTAGTGTCTAAAGCATCGACGACAGTTTGATCTTGTTTTGCAGGGACAATTCATGCACGGAGTATTCCGTGCACTTACCATCTAAGATGGAAAGAGACTGAGTTATCTAGGAAGAATGATGCTCTTAAATCAATATAGTGTAACTGGAGCTGCAAACTGTGGCAAAGAATCATTGTTGCGTTTGAAAGTAGTGTCTACTGCCGGGGAAGCTGAGGTTCAAAAATCGACAGGTGGAAAATCTTCTCAGGTTGTCCAACGGGCACAAAGAGCTAGCCCGACTTAGAGCATTGCACAACTCAACACTGCAAAACCTTTGCTGTCATTCAACTCAAAGGAAATCTTATCTTTGGGACAGGGAATTCGGTGGTTTTACTTGACGTAGATATTCACGATAGGAGACAGACATCCATTATGCATAACGTATTGGCCAGTTTCGGGTCAGAGTTAGGTCCATAGGTCTCGGAAGGCACAAAGCTCGTGACCACCTTACATCATGAAAAAACGGTGCCAAAAGCTAAGGCTACGTTGAGATCACACACGCCGTACAAGTCACTGAAAACACTGTCAGGATAAAGTAGTGGTTACTTGCATCGAAGGTCAACACACACGCGGAGCCAGAGTTTGGAAAGCTATGTCGTGACTTGAGGTGACTCCTTGCTTACCGCCAAACAGATGGGTGATCTTGGTGTCTCAAAAAGTCTCTAGGAGACTAACGCCTGGGCCAGTTCTCATGGTCGTAATCCGCAGAGTGAAAAAAGTTTCCTGATCTTTAGAGTTGGCTTTCTCTAACTTTCATGTTACCGAAGTAATATTGGCATTCTACGTGTCAGGAAACGTCAACAAAAATATCGTGAAGCAGCCGACAGTTTTACAGAATGACACCGAAAAGGCTCTTAGGTGACTTCCACGGAGCTTGATCTTGGGCTACGAATCTGATGGTACATCAAGTGCCCGCAAACTTGGATTCCTATGACAATGACTAAGATTGTTGTAAGTGAGAATTTCCAAACACCGCCATCAGTCTTGTAGGTATAATAATCCATAAATCATTACAGATTGCCCGAAACGTTGATGACTCCAGAACTAGTCCTATCAAAGTAGCGTCCCTGTCTTCCCAAATGGTAGAACTTGCAGTTAAGTCATTCTGCGCAGGCAGACGTGGTTGCCAACTAGACTTCGCACGTACCTTGATAGGCCGCGAAAAACCAAGACGAGGGAATAGAAAAGACTGGAGTTGGTTTTCCCTTTGGTATACTGCCTTGAGACAAAAGTTGAAAAGAAGCCGTAAGCACTTCATCCGTAAACAGTATTTCGGCGGACGCTCAGCCCCCACGCCCGAGGATGTACTCAGGGATTCGCTGTAAAGACGAACAGAGGTAAGGTCTCAGCAAGTTCATCCAAACCAAATAGCATTAACCGTAGTGATATGAGGGATGAAAGTTCTCCCAGTTAACCTGATAAGCTGCGAGAACTAAGTAGGAAGATTAATTCCCGTCTCACTGGGGAGACTTATAACTGCAAAAGCTTTCGAATGAGGATTTATATGAACATATGCCATTTTGACAGGCAGTGTATGTGTTACTTTTCCCAGTGGAGCTAAAGAAGTTTGGAAAAAATAAACTATCGCGCCACAATAGTCTTCCGGAGCAAGCAATTGTTCGGATAGTACTGGTCATAAATATTGGGTGAAGGCCATTTCGCTACACAGCGGCTGTGAAAAATAATGTGGGTGCAATCACTCGGTACGCACAGTATCCTGGCAAAAGTGAGTCACATAACCAGTAGAAGTGCAGCGCATGAGGCTGAAAACATGTGAGTATTCAATAAATTTGTGCTGTCCACGGACAGCATGCGAAACTGGAGTTAAGTGCTGTGATGGACGGCAGAAGGAATTGGGGACTAGTGTTACGTGGTGTCATGAAGCGTGGTGCGACTATCTGAGTCCCTGATGTTGTAAGCAGAGTCATATAAGTATATTTTGCCAAAGACACGAATTTCTCAGCAAACTTTCAACTAGTAACTGGATGTCCAGGGTTCCATGCTGCTTCACAATGAAAGAGGAGCTGATGGGGAGCGACAGAGAACGCTTTCCTTAGGCTGGTCACCAAATCCCTGGATCTGTATTTACGAAGTTCCTGCCTTGAAGAGTTCCTCTGGCGCTTTACAAAGCTGTCCGGAACCACTAACTGCCTGGTGAGAATCGCTTATATAAATCCATCAGAAGACTCAGCATTATAACTAGTTAGTCAGTATCTCAAACTGAAGCACACCCACATCCTCACTTCAGAGGATATTCGCATATCTACGGTTAATTTTTACGTTGTGTAGTCACTTAAAGTGGTGACTGTATCGAAACACCATCTGCGTAGCACAGTCAGGGCTTGAGAACTGAAAGGGAATGTGGAATCAGTAATTGAATCTCGGAACTCCCAAATATCATCTCACTTAGACTGCAAATCCCCTTGTCAAGGGTTTATGCCGGATGGTCTTGTGATTCCCCCTTCCGAGCACGGGAAATTAGGTTGTTACCGGCTTCCAGCCCGTCTATAGGAAAAAGCTAACCCACTCCTCGCTGAGTGTTGTTGGAACTTTAGAAGACGGAACATCTGGGTCCTGGATACGACTTTGGAACAGAGGCTAGGTAGCTAACTATATGGCTCAGTACATGGGCACTCTTTGGGAGTTGGTCCTTAAAAAAATCACGCATCCCGTCAAACGAACTGTTTGCTCTCTACTCCAAAGCTGTCTAAGCCACTTGATGTAGTAGGTAACCTCACTCGTAAACTTCTCAGGTGGAAAAGAAGCCAGTGGACTGAAGACGCATGCGAACCATTTGAAAAAGCGCAAATTGTAGAATGAAATAGAAGGGTATTGTGGACTAATAGATATCGTCACTGAGTTGAGGCTTCAAATATGTTAATGTCTAACTCGGAAAGTCTGTTTCGCTATGCTTCATCATGTGAGTAGGCCAAGACAGTTGCCCCTCAACTAGTAGGACTCACTGAGCTGAGCAGCAGCTATAGTGAATTAGTGCGATTCTCAGGCAGTCAGTATTATTAAACCTCTCCGTCACTGACCGTCTACCCGCGAACATACCAATATCTCAACTGCTGTGAATGACTCTCGGTTGCTGACGTGAGCGTTGGGCAAGTACAGAGCAAGTTACTAATGCTCCCAGAGAATGTTTCTATGTGAACAGACTGGGTCCATGCGATGGTTATGGGTCTTCCTTCAGAGAGACTCCTAAAGATGATGGCTTGTCTCTCAGTGTTCGGTTTCCTCGACGAAGGCTACTAAGATTTGCAAGTGTAGGGCACAGCCTTAGCTTCTGACAGTAGTCAACGAACTGTCAAACTGTCCCCTCCTGACCAACAGTGAGGCTGTCAATATATCGACGTTAAACAAGATGAGAGTTAGCTCAGAGAACTTCAGACTCCCATTGTTGGCTGTACTATTATATGCACTAACAATAAGTGACATCCTTGACTATTCAGCAGGACCGGCATGCATTTTTTTTTCGCACTTTCCCCGTCTCGATGTCGAGGACGTTCTGATTGTGCTTAATCATGAACCACACAAACAGCTCTTTTCATGGGTTCATAGTTCAGAGTGACTGCATGGGAGATACAAATGGTTCGATCTAAAGCGGTATCCATGTGGGACAGTGGGCTCGATGTTACTGACCCAGCTTTATTCTTGCGGTCACTCCTTCAGCCTTTTGAAGCTAAACCTGCCAGACTCAGAGAGGATGGTGGCCATGAAAGTGAATCGAATATTACCCACGAAGCCTGATTACAGAAAGGTCATAGCTTCATTCCAGTAGAACTCTTGACAGAACTAAACCTTAGTGATGGAAAAAAGTGATGGCAACCAATCAGGTTAGGGATCATCTGCTCATTACATCCGCTTACTTGGTTATTGATGCTGGATAAATCTTTGACATATTATGACGGAGAATTTGTTGTAGGTTATATGTGAGGTTTGGTGGGGTAGATTGTATAGTTACCACAGATGAACATTTTGATTGGAAACTTCAATATAACTTAGGAAGAGGACCTAAACAGAACCGGGATGGTGATAACTCACCAGATATATGTGTAAATTCAGGCTTAAGAAGTGTAAATGTGGTACCAATTGCTCTAATAAGTACTTTGTCCTTGATGTTCTTGGTTCTGATTGCTCAGTGCATACTTGGACGCAGTTTGACGTTATGGAAGCTTAGTCCCACCAAACTCTTCTTCAGTATTCCACTTTGGTATGACACTCTAGTTAAGTCATCCATAACATAACGGAAACTTGCTAATATTATAAGCAGCTTTGCATTTGTTTCTTCAAACTTACCGCTAATTGCAGGTGGGAGGTACGAATTACAAATGGACGGGCGTCCGATTTCAGATCTTAAAGTTGCTGAACTTCGCAGGGAGTTGGAAAGCGCAATCAAGATAAGACTGGAGTTAAACAAGTTTTGCTAGATAGACTTAAAGAGGTCAGTATTAAGATTACTTTGATTTTTGCAGACGCTAGAGAAAGACGGCCATGACCCTCAAACTTACCGCTTCAAGAATGAAGACGAGCGCCTTAAAGCTGAGCAAGAAGTATTTGGTATATCGGTATGTCCTTACTGTATTCACACTCATTCTTATATAGTCGGTGAATGGTGACCTACATAAATTTGGTAAGTGCGGTTTGTTAGTACTGAGGCATATTACATTTACATATACCGACCGTTTTTGGGTTTTAAAAGGGTAATCTATTTGCTAAGGCAAAAATAGGACTTAATTATGCAGTAGGCTTCCGCAGTGTTATTTTCACCTGGGAGTTGTAGATCCTGTTATATGAATTAAAGATCCAGAAAAAACCCGAAGAATCCCACTCATTGTCGAAAATGTTATGTGCATCTTGGTCGAAGTTACTTGTTTCCAGTTTTGGTGTCTGCCGATGTCCTTACTGTTGGTGATAGCACGTAGCTGCTGGAATTAATCTGAACAGGTGTGCAAGCAGTGATGTGCAGTGCCCGACCGCAATAATATTTCGCTACTCAAGGAATAATTTCACAAAAGACGACGCATGGTATCTTGTTGCATTATGGACTACTCAGCGGCTCATAATACCCAACAAATCCCTCCGGATGTCAGAAGAGACCACTTGGTGAAATTGATGTTGGATGGTCGTAAAGTACTACTCAGTGATGTCCATGCACGTAATTAGGTAGTGATGTCGTACTACCAACTGCCGTTTAGTCCATTTGGAATTTGAAGAGCATTCGTAACTAACACTAACTAAACTTTTATCAGTTGCTTCGCATTGCTGGAAAGTGAGCTTGTGGTGGTACGGTATACTGTAATCCAGTCGATGTACATCGCCTTTGGTTGGGATCCCGCAGCCTCCTCTACGTTCGTAGATAACATTCGGATTGTATTTGAGTCAACTCACCACAGGCATGAAGTCCCAGGTTTTTGTTATTTTGAAGATAGGCCTTCAATCTCTTGTGATTAACAAAAATAAATGGAAGTTATGTAAATGAGACTGCTAGTGATAATTGACTTTCTGCTCTTATTCCATTGAAAGAAAAAGTCGGATCTGTCATGAAGGAACGTAATCCAGTAGATGATCAATTAAATGATGAGTTTGTCATCAGTGACCAATCGGTCCAGAAAAAACTAACTGAAGAGTCCGTTCCATATGTCGTACAAGTTGGGGAACAAGAAGAAGATTTGGATTATGATTTGAAAAATGAAAACAACAGTTCGTCTGAATGTACAGGTCCTGGCAAGAAAGTTCAAAATATGGTTGGAGAATCTATTAAAAGTGAAGAAAACCAGAAAGGTTCGTAATTCTCTGTCGAATGATATGATTATGTTTATCCCCTTCTGACGAGCTGTTTCTTTTTTTAGTGCTGCTGTTACTCAACAAATAAGTGGTATGTTCGAGTTAACTAAGTCCCATTCCATATCAGAAAATCGCAAAAATTTATGGATAAGTAACTTACCAAAATTGGTGAAAGCTGCAGATCTCAAACAACACTTTAGCAGAGCGGGGAAGGTATGTTTGATGTCAATCAGGATAGCTTTTCAGGTCGTGTCAGCAACTGTTGTTATGAGCACACGTACACCCGGAGGTTGCTTTGGATCTATACAAATGGCTTCCGCAGAAGATGCAGCAACTGCTGTTTCGATTTATGACTCGACAGAATTCGGAGGATGCATCCTGAGGGTCGAGGCTACAGAACGCAAAGCACCAATTCAGTCAAACAACCTGAATGATAGAATTTCCGGATTAAACAAAGTTAAAGCTTCTAACTTACCTGATTCCCAACGTATGACATCTAAATCCATGGTATCTCGGAAACGCTATATTGGTATGTCCATCTAATTTTGTTTTGCTCATGTCATTAGCAAACAGACGGACGCAACTGCGCCGCATTGCAATAAGAAATGCCATTCTGAGGGAACAGCGCAGAAAATCTGAATTTCTATCCACTCATACTCATCTGCACTCCTCAAAAAGCGTTCCCGTGAGAAGGTCGACCCATCCGTTGACTAGGCAGAAATATGCAATATCAAAGGATACATCGGTAAGAAACTAGATACTGCTATTTTTGGGAGATTGCGATTTTCTTAGTTGCACTTAAGCTTCATTGGTAGTAACAGTAGCATCATGCTATGTTTTGTGACCGCTAATTCTCGTCTATTGGTCAAATGAAGATCCTGGCAACATATAAGCGCTGCATTTACTAGCTCAATTGGATTTGGATGGACTTGGATTTCGAAGCGCAAAGAATGCATTTTGGTGTTAAATATCGGAGCTTTATTGTTAGAATGGACAGTTGGTGTGACGATTTATTAGTATCCCCACCGGTCTAGCAATTCTGTGATCTCATGAAGCTACTGTTGTGCTTTAAGAATCATATGAACTGATACAAGCTGCATATGCTCCCTGCAGGATAGCAGTACTTTAGGAGTCATACTTTTTCATGAGTTAATTTCGATGCAGCAAACATTTCTTTCCCGTAAGTTTGTACTGACTAACGCAAACGAAGAATCTTTCTGCAAGTTGTACGGAAAAATTTAAGGAACCGATCCAGCATACCAAGTTCGAGTTCTATCCACTCAAAACAGGGGTAGCACAAGCTTACAGTACGTTGCTAAAAACTTTGGCTGCGTATAGTTACTGCTCGCATTTTTGACGGGCGCTTTAATTCTTACTTTCTTGTAGCGTTCCGAGGTCGTTTGGCTCGCATATCCCGGTATCAAAGTATTCCACAACAACAAAGGCCTTTACGCACCAGGTAAGCAGAAAGTTATGTACGGTATTCAGCTCGTCTACTGTTCTGAGGAGTATCTTCATGATATTCGTATTGTTATTTAGAGACTTACTTCACGCTCTCGGTCATTTTGTTTGACACTACAATCTCTCACGTGCAGTCAGCAGCTGAAATGTGATATTTTCGAACTTCGTAAATAAGGTGTTCACCAAGTTTGGTCAGGATTTCTTTGCTTGGATGTGTGAATGCAAACTACGAGTAAGAAAAAGTGTTTTCAGAATAAGATTTAGCGCGGTACTGAAACCTGAGCAAGCACAAATGTTGAGAACTTAAATTTACACCTAGCTATCACTTAGATTTCTCGATACTTGGGAAATAAACCATGGTTGGCTGCGTAAAAATCGCTACCATTTCGGAATCCTCAAAATCCACATGGGAAATGTTTAAGCATTTTGTGGCGTGAGAAATACATGGAGTACAAAACCTACGATCAGTTCAAGAAGTGTAACATAGCTGTCTTATCTCTTGATTATCTGACCTTGAGGTAGTGGTATAATTCCTAACGCTGAGTTAATAAGTTTATTTTATAATGGTATTGGTATCTCTTTTCGTCTTGTTCATCTGCTAGTGGTGATGTTGAACCGAATTCGGTTTTGAGTAAATCAAGTACTAATTGGATTTTATCAGAATCAAGAATTAAGTGTGAAAATTATCTTGACATACTTCCGCCCTGCAACGCTATGCCGAAAAATATTGTTTCATTTATTGTGTGAGTACAAGCTTGTTCGTGCGATCTTGATTCTGAATGATATATTCAACTGGTGTTCAGTATCTCAGAACACTAACCGCACTTACTGTGCATTGTTTTCACACTAAGTACCTCGGAGAATCTCTTTTTATATCCGCAGCCACGATAGCAGCTTATAAGTATCATAGAGTTGAAGTACTATACAGTTGCACGTTTTCTCATCTTATTCACAATAGGTATTGTCTAACAATAGCACACTACGCCAAATTATAGTTTCCCTAAGCTTCAGAAATATTTTCATCAGATTCACTGATGTTTGTTCGTCTTTTATGCAGTTGTCACGACGTCCTTAAGTGTTGTGAACTGTTGTCGTTTGAAATAAGAACGGTTACTCAGCGTTCCCAGTTAGCAAATGGGTCTGTTGTCCATTACAAAACCTGGTGGTTATATTATGCTTCATATTTTAGTGGGTAGGAGTCTATACTACCCTGACTTACTTATATCAGAGCACTCAGTTCCTTACCCCAACTACGTGCCACACTAACCATGCTTTCGCGTAAACTTTTGGATAAGATAATTTCTTGGAGTTTTCTGCCTGGTGGTATCATTGTGGGCAAATTTCTAGTGCAGTGATTAACATTGATAAGTCCACAGCTTAGCGACATGTTTCTCTTTGGTTGTGTATTATAGATCGCAACTGTTTTGAGTCATTATACCAGTTAAACCGACAACGCTAACCTCCGCACAAAAATTGCCGCATTTCATTGAAGCACGCGAAGAACCACTGGGTGGAGAAAGGGTGGCATGAAGGTATTGGAAGATCCATCCAAAAAAGGCGATGAATTGGGTTTAGTGAGAATTTTCGACAATATCGAACCAAAGAAATCTGCACCATTGTGATACATTTGCAGCGATGACACCAAGGCTTTCCAACCATTGGTTCCTATCTGGAAGACTCCAGTCAACAAACCGCGTACACAGTTCGAACAGACAGACTTCATGGACCGATGCCACATCTTAATCTGGCCGACCTAAGCCGTTTTCCAACTCAAACATATTTAGGGAAACAGATGTCAAGTTAGGCGATGCACTGGCCTCACTGATCGGCTTGCCTAGTGCTCTCCGTCTAATCTAGATATTGCTCACAGCGATTCTACTACACATCTAGTGCCAAACTGACTTAAGAAGTCGCGGAAATTGGGAAGGTTTAGGATCTACTCAAGGCTACCGACCACACTAATTTCTAATAGTTTCTGGAAAATAAGCGAACTTACTGGCACCTAACAAGCCATATTTCTTAACGTGAGGGCTACAGTCGACCGTACCAACCAACAAGTGTTGTGGCAATGCCTGGTTTAGGGGAGTACTGAGCGAGTACGCAGTGCTAATAAAGGCTCTCCGTGAAATCACGCAGCCGTGTAAAGGCTTGTGCGGAGGTGTCATCGTGGGTGACGACAGCCTGTGGTGTCCACGAGAGATGTCCACTTTCAGCTCTCTCGTTAAGCATTCTTATAGACAAAGTATTAAATATAACTCCTGGATGTCGCGGACTGGCTTGTCCTCTGGAAGACACATGACTTGTCATGGTCACGCATTACCTTTCGCTGTTAGCCGAAGATTAAGATAATGGATTCTCGTAAACACCTTTTTTACGGCATGCGTCTCACATCTGTCAACTGAAAGATAGTTCTTCGTGATAGGTTTCACGGTAGGGAGTTAGGTGGTGTTACTGACAAATTTTCTTCTGTAGTGGCCATCAGTCCTAATTGGTCGGTTGCTGACATATGGTGCCTGTTGGACAATTGCCAACTCGTGTCGTTTCCGGCGCTAGTGAGGCATGTGAATGTATGAATAAAAGGAGTATTACGACCAGCAACCTACTGTTCCGTTTTTCGGCTGATACAGTCTTTAAAAGTTAGACAGAGGAACTACAAGTATCTTACCAAAGGTGTTCGTAGAATTGCTTGCGTATTACGCTATCTGGGGTCCGGAAAATGATAGAGATCGCCGGTTCATGACCTTTAGCGTCTCAAAATGGTTTCCGGTGACGCATAAGTTGACTCCTTGTCAGCATTAGTCTTCAACATTTTAGTGTGCTCATCCCTTCACATTTATGTACATTGCCATCACCATTTCCGTCTACGTTTTCTATGCATTCTGCTGCAGTGTGGGAATTTAAACCGACGCACCTCTGTGCTAGGTTTTACGTTGATGTATCTGTCTGTAATCCTGGCCTTGGAGGAACTTGGTCAATCTAACAGGTTATCAGGCAGCTGGTACGGATACATCTTTACTTGGCGTTCTGTTTACATTAAGGTTATCTGAGTTCTTAAGTTTCATACAAATGGGTTGTCAGTTATAGGCACTCTGAACTATTGTTAAAACTTTACAGATTAACACTGAGTTTTCTGCAGTAGACATTCCTTGTGTTCAGTCTTCGTTAAATGGCCTTTTGAACGTTTTTGTTAGTGGCGTTTGATAAACAAGATTACGTCGACAAGTTCAGGTTTCGTTTCACCTTGGATCATTTGCCAAGGGAACACAAAGTTCATGGGTCTTTTTCCAATAGTCGGCCCAACTGTTGTCTGATATGAGTGCTTGTCACTGTTTCGTTATGTTTAAAGAATTGGGTCGGAGAAATCTACCAGGAACAACAAAATCGATAACACAGGAATCGGGTTTTTACAATGGTTCCGTTGGCCAAGCTTTCAACCTCTAAGCCAATAGGTCTTGGAATTCCTTACATTTCCACCCGACCACAGACATCTTCATATAGCTTTTAGGGGAAACTAACCGGTAAGTTATTGACAATTTAAACAACGCTACAGTAATAATTCCGTTAGCATACTTTGACCGTAAGCATTTTGAATAGCGTACTATTCTCTAAAGCTTTTCCAATTCACTTTAAGTAGCTATGCGTGATAGTGTAGAATCACTTTTACTGCAGGGCGTGAAGTAAAGTTCAAGAAATGGGGACTTCTTTTTACTATGTCAGTAGTGTTGAATATTCATACTTCTTCGCTAATCACTCACTCCTTCAACTACTGTCAATTTTTAGTGCCAACCAAGGAGCGCAGTCATTGTCATACAGAAGGTTGGGTTGTTCTAGTAACAGGATACGTGAGGCACATCGAATTCATAAAAGAGAAAGCAGTTCTCGGCAGTCATCGAAGCCATTTTTATCAGATTTACGCAAAATTCCGAATAGTTACTCAGGAAGTGGTCGAACTCATCCATCTTCATCCTCCATTTGTCTTATGCGGACCCACCAACCACAAAGAGATATATTCCAACATTTCACACCGATCGTTCTATGGGAAAAGATATTCGAGGACTTCAACGTCCCATTCCTTCAGATCGCAGGCATCATGCTTATCTCCAGTCACCCGGTCGGTCTTATGATTCCAGTCGATACGCAAGAGAGGTTCAGCAACCAGTCTATGCAGAGAAAAACACTTTCAAATCAGTGTATGATGATGGATGTCGTCAAAGTAATTCCGTACTTCGCCCAGAACCATAGTAAGTTTCTTTCCAATTTCTTTTGGGATATATCCAATAAATCGTTTTATCACCAGTTACTATTCACCATATACATTATTATGGCGTGTATCAACAATCACTGTTATCATCCAAGAACTTAGTCTCGGCAACTGATGCCACAGACCGTAATTTATATTCATGAGTTGAACTTTCGTCGAGTGATGACAACCCTATCACTGGCTATTATGCCAATGATTTTATGACAGCCAGTAGCAGAGCTTCTCGAAAAAGTATTACGCACAGTAAGCTTTTCGTTTGTTTTCAATTTACGTGAAAAACATTACAAATGAAAATTATGTCACAAAAGTCCAGTTATCGAAGCTTAGTCTGAGCCTTAGTCATACAAAGAAGCTTACTCATGGTGTATCAGTAAGAGACAATTACGATTGAAAAGACCTAGATATAAGTGTAAACTTGGTAATATAAACATTTCGAAATCTTGTTGTAATACTAGGTTCATTTTCACCATAAAGTATCTTTCCCAGTTGCAAAATTGCCGTGTTGCTGATCAGTTTAAAAAACCAGGTCATTTTGATACTTTTCTCCGTGCAAACAAACCAATGTCGAGCAACTGTCTGGTCCATATCAGTGGATGCCTTCTGCATGCATCTAAGGAAGTTGCAGTACTCACCCTGCTTTGCTTTGGCTAGTTGCACCAACATTAGACTACGTACTCAACTCTTTCAGCAGAGGTTTCAGTGACCCTTTTTGGGGTCACAGTCTCTATGAAGTAGAAATGTTTGACTACCTCAGATACCTTTTTTTCATCAAAATCTGTTGTCTTGAAAATCTGAAACTCAACAAGGTTTTCTTTTTTTAGTCAGTACGCTCCATCTTCATTTCACTAATAAGCTTTATGTGCATAACCTCTCTATGCCAATTGCGAACAGATGCGATATGTATATGTATAGACTAATCGCATGATCGGTTTTTAACGGCTGCTTAGAATCATTGCTACATTGTATGAACAGAAGATGGCTTACTCTCGAATTAGAAGTAGTTATAAAGCTGAATTTAGTCATGATATCCGCCTGGAATTCACGAAATTTCATGAGATCTCGTAGAGCGGGTTGCCTAAGTGTCGTTACATAACATGAATGAACACTTAATAAAAAAACTTATTCAATTCAGCAGCTTCCTCACACTTAATTTCAGTAGTTAGACTGAAGAACGAGGTGTTTTCAACTGGCATTTGTGCTTTCCAAATTTTGTGCGACTGTGTTGATAACTCTCCAAGTGCACTCAGCCTTCGCTAAAAATGACTGGTTACTTGTTACTCTGGTGAGATTTAGTATCACTCGTCAGTCTGGGGAGAAACCTTCGGTAATTGATATCAGATGTCCGTATTATGAAGCTTGAAGTAACCTGGGAGGCGAAAACAGAGCTGACTGACAAAATCAACGTAGAACCTCGCTCACAGATGCATCAGCTCGTTGTCACACTTCACAGGTGTACACACAGCAGGAGGATAGAAAAATAGGGATACCAAAGTGCAGTGGGCTGATCAGAATGTACATAAGAAGTATTTGTTGAGACGGCGGCAGAAACCATAGGCAATTACCAGCAATGGGTGAAGATTCTGCCCAGAGAAACGCAAGTGACAATGTCGGCGTATTAAGAGCAAATCAAGAGAGAAGCAGAATAGGAAATGAAGTATATTATGCAAATGACTGTTCCAGTGGAAGATGTACAATATTTGATGACTATAAAAGATGTCAGTAATAAAAATTCCTTCCTTCGTCTCTGTCTTGTCGTTTTCTACATAAGTAAATGATGTAGTAAGAGGGAATAAGCAATCTGTAGATAATGGTTAATGTGTATATTCTGGCTTTAGAAGATGTTAAGGAGTGAATACATCTTGATTGTGACCGATTTGTAGCCGTATCACCAAAAGTCACTAACCACTGATTCTTTTCGCCTCGCGTACGCCAACCAGGTAACCTACATCTCTCCCCACACGGCTCAGACCAACAATGTGAGATTTCATCGACGTGCCAGGTCTTAGTCTTGCCACTCCAAACCCTCTTCCCACTTAATCCAACTCCCTCCAGCATGGCACGTCCATTTAGGCGGTTAATCGGCATGTGCAGTGTATGTTCAAGCCACTTCTATCGATGAAGTCTCGCAACATCATCGATCGATCTGGCTAGTATCCTTTGCGCCTAACCTCAACAATGCTCACACGGTGATTCCACCAAATGTGAGCAGTGTTACGAAGACATGTGAAATATTGACAGTTCATTTCTTACAGGAGTTAGTGCTGAAGATGTCGTCTAGACAGACGATGGAACCTCTACGAGTAAACAACGCAGCTCAGAGAACACGATACGAACAAAACCAGCGGCCATTTCTGGGAACCTTTTGTGGTGTAATAGCTCTAGCAGCTGCTTGACAACAGACTGATTCATACCACCTATTTTATAATGTTGAGTATGACATACTGAACGAATACACTGGTTGGGCACTAGAGGGTAGCCAACTTCATGCTGTTTGGTCATAAATGCTGGTCGAATTCTACCAATCATTTTGCAATGTGGTCATCAAGCTAGGAAACTCAGCGTGGCGATGCACTGGAATAGATGCTAGTTGGATGGATGGACTTTCCGCTGATCGCCTCCATCCAGCTAAACCGAACTAGTGCTAGTTTCTTCAGCACCGACATGTTTTCAAATCGGGACAGTATTACTGATAATTATAACCCCAGAAGTTTCCTAAGTGCTCCCTCCAAAGTTACCGAGAAGAAAAATTTTAGTGCTAAAATTGAAGATGTATTAGACAACAAAAGACAAACATTAATTGTCATTAATATCGGCGTGCAGGGGCCCGGTTATCATATGTTGATGATACAAAAAATGCATGATTCGGCTGTCTCCATGACTGGTTTTGGGACGGGGAAGGAAGAGCTCTAGAACGTCTCTCTGCTTGCCAGTTTGTTTTTGACTCTGAAAAGTAATAAAGGGAGATTAATTTCAAAAGACTTCTTCAATAGAGGGAATCTCAGCTTCCAGTCAATGCAATCGGTAAGATTCTTACTAACTTTGAGAAAATAAGTGTTACACAAGCCACTTTAGGACACGGCTACTCAGTGTCAGGAATCACACTTTTTTACTTTGTTGGTTTGGATGACATCAAAACATGTGACTGGGTGATGTTAAAAAGTTGATGTTCATGGATAAACCATGTAATATTGCACATAAACGCGGATGGTACACAGAGAAGTGCCGCGTCGTATGGTGTTTTCTAGCTCTAACCATGCAGTTTTGTCTGTAACCTCTTCTCTGCTCCTCTTAATGCTGCTTTGAGATTTTGGAGCTTGGACTTCTGTATCAGGTTGTGTTGACTTGCCTGTCTTAACGTTTCTAACTCACTTTTTACGCTGTGATCGAACACTGATTGTAATTCAAAGTCTGTGAAGTACCCTACAGCTGCAAATCCTGCACGGCATTTGCATTTGGACAGGGTTTATTACGTAGAACGCCTTATGCTTGTTGGATATCAAGATATATCACTGGTGCCATTATTTGTCACTCGCAGATGTACCCCTCTCCTGATATCCTCTAAAGCTTGAATACTTGCTCCGACTTTTATCTTCATGATTTTTATTCTCAC